GTTTAAAATTTGGCTGTCTTTTCCCTCAGATTTTAACACCATCTTTAGATCAGATATTACATTTGAGTTGAAAGAATGCATGACCATGCACATTATTTATACTCCAAAAACAATGAGAGGGCAAATGCAGGACATGCAGAATCTATTAGCCATGCACTTTTGTCAGTATCACTCAGTTCTGTTCTGATATCTTCTGAACATTAAATGTTGACATAAGGGTCAAGCTTGAGTGTTTGTTTTAGGAATTTCTAAAAGGAATCTGGTGACCCTAACTTATATAGTGTTATTGACAGACTACCTTGGATATCAGGATTATAGCATTGCAGTGATTCAAAAAGGCAGCTCACCATCACAACCTCAAGGGCAACGAGGGACGGGCAATAAGTGCTGGCCCAGCCACCGATGCCCACATCTCTCAAGTGAATAAATACTCTTATTTGCAACCTTAAATAATGGGCTAAGTAGTGGGCTGTGGTCTTAATGCACAAAGCTCAGTTCTACAGATTTGCGTAGTTTAAAATGGTGTTAAATGGACTAATTACTTTGTCATGTTTCCAAGTTGTGATTGCAATACACCATGAAAGTTTGATGGATACAATTTAAATGGGGACATTGGTTTTTGGAACTGCATCAAGAAAGGTGAATGGCATTTGACTTTTAATAACAACCTTTTCTACCACAAGTTTGTGCTTTGTAAATGTCGTAGCTTTGTTCAAAAAAGGCAACAGGGATAGGTCAGCTAATGAAAGACCAGTTAGTCTAATATCAATGGTGGGAAAATTATTGGAAAAAATTCTGAGGGACAGGATTAACCAACTTGGAAAAGGCAGGGATTGATCAGGGATAGTCAGCATGAATTTGTTGGAGGGAGATTCTGTCTGACTAATTTAGTTGAGTATTTTTGCAAAGGTGAATGAATATATTAATGTGGTTTATATGGATTTCAGTAAGGCCTTTGACAAAGAAGGTAAGAGCCCATGGAATTCAAGGCAAGCTGGCAAACAGCATCCAAAATTGACTTGCAATAGGGTTAACATTCAGAGGCAGGTGGTGATGGTGGAGGGTTGTTTTTGTGATTGGAAACTTGTACTACAGAGACCGGTGCTTGGACGCTTGCTGTTTGTTATGTGCATTAACAATTTGGATGTGAATGTAGATGACGTAATTAGTAAGTTTGCAGATGACATGAAAATTGGTAGTTCTATTGATTGTGAAGAGGATGGTGTCAGACTACAGTCTGAGACTGATCATCTGGTAAATTGGTCAGAGCAATGGCAGATGGAATTTAATCCTGCGAAGTGAGAGGTTTTTGGGGTCTAATAAATGAATGATTTACGCAAGGAATGGTAGGTCTCAAGAGAGTCGTGAGAAACTAAGGAACCTTGGTGTACAAGTTCATAAATCCCTGAAGGTATTAGCACAGGTAGATAGGGTAGTGAAGCAGGCATATGGAATGCTTGACCTCATTAGCCAAGGTGTGGAATATAGGATCAGAGAAGTCCTGTTACAACTTGACAAAACATTGGTTAGGCCATAGGTGGAATGCTTCGTTCTTGTTGCAATGCTATCAGAAGACCATGATTGCATTAGAGAGGATGCAGAGGAGATTCACCTGGATGCTCCCTGGGTTGGAATGTCTCAGTTATGAGGAGAGACTGGATAGGTTGGGTTTGTTTTTCCCTAGAGCAAATGAGGCAGAGGAGAGATCTGACGGAGATTTATAAATTGCGAGCCATAGCTAGGGTAGATCATGAGAATCTTTTCCCAGGAGACATGTTTAAGACCAGAGGGCATAAGTTTAAGGTGAGGAGTAAGTGGATTAGAGAGGATCTCACGAATACAAAATTCACCCAAAGGCTGGTAGAAATATACAGTGTGCCGCTGAGAGGGTGGTGGAGTCAGGTACTCTCAACATTTTAAGAAGCATCTGCATGAGCACTTAAAATGTCAGGGCAAGTGCAGGTAATTGGGATTACAGATAGTTTGGTGTCTGTTGGTTGGCGTTGACATGGTGGGCTGGAGGCCCTGTTTCTGTGATGTATGACTGTAAAGGAAAATATTGAAACATTTCTGCATGGTTCAACTCAGATTGTTTCCTTGGGAAAAAGAAACAAGATCTGCACACTTTTTAAAAAAAAATGACAAGCCAATTGTGCAGATGGTTGGTAGATTGTCAGGTTTTCTAAGTGGTTATACATTACATGGTCTACTAAATTCCAAGGTAATATAGAATTTTATAGGTGAGGGGTGGGAGCTTCAGGGTATTGTGATGGAATTTGTGCCTTAAAGCTTGAACTTATTTTAAGACCGATCTAAACTCTAAAGGGAAACTAAGAATGCAAACATATTTGTGCAGTTTCTAAGGAAACGAAGACTGAAACCTCAACTGAAGACTGAAGCTGATTGAAACCATATAAAAGGAGACATGGAAACACACTCAGATGATGATCTCAGTGGTGTTGTTCATACAGGCTGAAAGAACATGAAGGCTAGATCCAGAAGCTGAGAATAAGCAAATATGAAATTGGTATGGCTTCTTTTGCTACTTAAAGATAACTTTGCTAGATTTAGGTCATCCAGATTCTTGCAAGCATAATTGAGGAGGTTCTGCAGACATATCACATTTTGGTGAAGGCTGACCATCTGCATTGCTGCCAGGCTAAATCCTAAAAGACGAGGAGCTGAAATTCTCCCTGACGAAGACCAAGTTTTGAAAGATGTTGTCACTGAATTTGAAACACACATGTTGAATGGACTTCCAAGCAAGTTCCTGTCTTAGTTGTATCTGCTATTCAACGTGTAATTTACTGTTTATAGTTAGCCAAATTTCCTGCTAATATTTAACTTTTGATTCTGGATTTTAGATAATTACGTAAATTGCAGTTAGTATTTGTTTTGTTTGACGCTTGTTTAAACCATGGAAATTCAAAGCTTCACTTTTTTTTCATAAAGAAGAGGGATTTCAGATTTTTTTTTCTTGGAAAAAGAATTCTGGTGTCAGTAAAGAGCATAAAAATAGCTAATTTGCTTTTCCACCCTATACAAGGCCTATGTGATTCACATTGCCCTGGAGATCCTCTTAAAAGGGAAGCCGTTGCAGGTTTGCACAAGATCAGCCATTAAGAATGTGAGAGGGAGATAAAAGGGAGAGAGAGGCAGCAAGTGAAAGTTTGTGCTCTGTTTGATAAGACCAAGTTTGTGAGGGTTTAAACAATGCTAGAATATTCGCCAACCTTTACTTAGAGGGAGGGATCTTTGATTTTCCCCTCACTATGAAAGTCAGTTTGATGAGTAGAAGTTTTTCAGTTGGAAAAGAGAAAAAGGATCTGTGAATAGCTTTGGACTGGTTCATAGAGAAATAGTCGCCTAAAAGACAAGACGAAGTTTGGCTATGGTGGGAGTTAGAAAAGATCCCTCTTTTAAGTTTTACAGAGTATAAGTTGACAATCAAAATAGTGTTTAATCAATGGTAGTTTGGTTTGTTAAACTTGAAATTTTGTCATGTGATTCATTCACTGGACAATTTGATGTTTTCATTAAAAAGTTATTGGTCTCTATGGGGTTCATAATGAGGAAGAAATTCTCAATGTATGCAGGAGCCATATAGCTACTGTAGATGTATAATATGTGCAAAAAGAAATTTAGTTTTCAAATAAGCACTAAACTAGTGTAACGGACCACGGCCATATTGTGACATTGGTTTGTTCCATAACGCATTTGAGCTCTTACTCTCAAACATGTTTAGCAAATGAAGCAAGCAGTTTACCCAAAAATGATTATCAAATATTAAGTTATCCTGGAATATGTTCATGAATTTCCAGCTGACATCTTAACTGGTGTAGTTACCTGTTCAGACTTTTGCATATGCAGAGAAGTACAGCGTAAGGAATGACATAGTTCATTCTCAGTTTGAGGTTGTTCATCACAAAATTTGAAATCTTGCTTCAGAAATGAGTTGTTGTATGGGTTTTGCTCCTCAATCTAACTCTTCTGGATATAATGTCACACACTTCTCGATTTCAAAAGAAAAATATTCCTGCAATATGTTAGCCTCAATTTGGAATTGAGATTCAATATGAGTAATTGAATTGTCATGGTTGGAAATAATAAGTGGCAAATTTCTTTTTTATTTTGGGTTAACTCTTATTTTGACAACCACTAATACTGCCACCACCAAAGGAAAGTCTGCAGCAAACCAACAGACCTGAAACGAGCCCATGTTGCAGCCATAATACACTGCAGGCAAGGCTACGTTGCCGTATTTTAGGACGTCCACCCTTCACTAGGGAGGAAGTCCTGCCCTCAGGAACAACTGGCCAATCTTATTAGGCAGCAATTCTACCTGTACTGACACAACCACAAGCTCAACAGTAGGTGCTCCTGGTACTGCAGTATGGAGACAGCATGGATCCTGGAGTGAGGTGCATGTAGGGAAGAGTTTAAAAAGCTTAGGGAGGAAGTTCTGGGGTGGTTTCTTTGAGTAGGTGCAAACCCCGATTCGCAAGCAAGAAGAAAGCGCACACCCCCTTTACTTCCCCGTCCCCAACTTCACACCATTTGTGAACCTCTTTAAAAAGTGACCTGTTAACGACCCACATCAACCATATTTTGGCTTAGATGTATTTACAGATTGTTGACACGCTACCAACTTCAGCATCCTCACCCCCTCTATTATAGGGATGAGCTCAGATGGTGGGAAGGTGGTGAAGCAGCCACCAAGCCTATATTATGTGCCTACTTGATGAAAATACACCCTATGATGCATATTGTATCCAAATCTTTAACTTCAGTTTTCTCAAATACTGATTTTTGTTTTTAAAGTTGTGTACAAATGAACTAATATATTTTAGATGTAATTGATAAGACTTCCCTTTTTCAAAATGTAGTCTAAAGTCACTGATCTTCTGCACTGGAGCGCACTGCAGAAATGAAAGGAAAGTAGTTCTCATGAAAGCTGCCATTTTTAACGTGAAGTCTGACTCTGTGTTTGTCTCTTCCAGAACTAACCAATGGAACTGATTTGATGAGTCTGAATGGAAAGACTCTGTATGTGACATCTGGATTTACACCAGCAGAAGCTGTTATGAAGACTGATACCCTGCTTTTCCAGTATGTCAACTTAGAGCTGGTGAATGCCAAGCCTCAAGGTATGCTAGTAAGCAACACAATTGTTTTATTTAAAATTGCTTGAAATATTTCACTTCAACTACAATGAGAATTTGTTCAACACAACATAGAATTTACTGCGTTGGTTTTCAGTGCAACAAAACTGTCATAGCTCTGTAGCAGGATGCAGCAGTCTGAGCATGTGTAGCATTTCCTTGCTTTGTTTAAGGCTTTGGTAAGTTTTCAGTATTTAATATTTGCATGTATAATTCCATAAGAGCTAGAATTTCAGAGTTTGCAGATGATATGAAACTTGGAAGCATTGTGAACTTGACTAGGATAGCTGTGAACCTTGAAAGGACATTTTCTTTTCTTTATTCATTTGCGGGATGAGGGTGTCGCTAGCTAGGCAGCATTTATTGCCCATCCCTAATTGCCCAGAGGGCAGTTAAAAGTCAACCTGGAGTCACATGTAGGCCAGACCAGGTAAAGATGGCGGTTTCCTTCCCTAGAGGGCATTAGTGAACCAGACGGGTTTTTCCAACAATCAACAATGGATTCAAGGTCATCATTAGACTCTTAATTTCAGATATTTATTGAATTCAAATTCCATCATCTGCCGTGGCGCAATCCCGTGGCGGGATTCGAACCCCAGAACGTCATCTGGGTCTCTGGATTAACAGTCCAGCGAGTATACCACTAGGCCATCACCTCCCCAATTGATGTTGATGTGTCTGGACAGGTGGATAAAGAAGTTTGATGTGGAGAAACATGAAATGATTCATCTTAGAAGGAAGAATGGAGAGAAAATGTGAAAGTAAAGAGCAAATTTTGAAAGAAGTACAGGAGCAGAGAAACCTAGGTGTAAGATATCACCAGAATGGGTGCAGAGGAGATTCACTGGATGTTGCCTCGACTGGAGCATTTCAGCAATGAGGAGAGCCTTGATTGGCTGGGCTTATTTTCCTCAGAAGAGAGAAGGCGGGGACCCTAATTGAGGGGATAAATAGGGTAAATATGAAAAAGCTTTTCCCCTTAATAGAGTCTTAGATTTTAAAGTAAAGGACTTGAGATTCAGAAGGGATTTAATCCATTTTTTTTCACACAGAGGGTGGTGATTATCTGGCATGCTCTCCCTAAAAGGGTGGTGGAAGTGGGAACAATTGCACCATTTAAAAAGGTTATAGATGATCACTTGAAACGTGTAGCATACAGGGCTATGGACCAAGTGCTGGAAAATGGGACAGGAATATTTCGATACTTGATGACTGGCACAAACATGATGGCCCTCTTTTTGTGCTGTATGACTCTGACTGTAAATCCGAGTGTGGGCAGGACAGTTTAGAAGAGTGATCATTGAAGGATATTGTACTTTGGGCTTCTTTAAGAGGGGCTTGGAAGACCACACTGAACATTTACAAAACACTAGTTCGGCTACAATTAGGTCCAGTTGCGAGGCACGCTTTTTTTTTTATTCATTCACATGGTGAGGGTGTCACTGGCTAGGCTGGCATTTATTGCCATCCCTAATTGCCCAGAGGGCAGTTCAGAGTCAACCACATTGCTGTGGGTCTGGAGTCACATGTAGGCCAGACTAGGTAAGGTTAGTAATTTCCTTCCCTAAAGGACGTTAGTGAGCCACATGGGTTTTTTTTTCAGAGAATCGGCAATAGATTCACGGTCGTCATTAAACTTGTAATTCCAGATATTTATTGAATTCAAATTCCACCATCTGCCGTGGCAGGATTCGAACCCAGGTCTCCAGAACATTATCTGGGTCTCTGGATTAACAGTCCAGTGATAATACCACTAGGCCATTGCCTCCCCCTCAGGATGGATGCGGGGACATTTTGTAAAGGTGCAGAAAAGATTTGTGAGAATGGTTCTGAGATGGTGGAACTTCAAAAATGGAGTTAATTTGGAGAAAAAGGATTGATTTCCTTTAAGAAAAGGAAGCTGAGAGGGGATTTTATACAGGTATCTAAAAATCGTGAGGGGTTTAGATAGAGAAGAAAGGGAGAAACTGTTCCTGCTCATGAGATAGCACAGATTTAATGTGATTGGAAACAAAAGTAGAAGTGAAATGAGGAAAGATGTTTTAACACAGCATGTGTTTAAGATCTGGAATGCAGTGCATGATAGTGTGATGGATGCAAGGTTAGCAGAAGCGTTCAGAAGAATTGCTCAACAAACAGCCAATGCAAACATGATGGGCCAAATAGCTGATCCCTGCGTTGTGACAACTCTAAGATTCTGTAAAAGACATTCCTCACTTATAAGAAGTTTGAAAACTTACTTCCACCTGCGTAACATCACTTGACTCCACATTAGCTCATTTGTTGAAACCCTCATCCGTGCCTTTATTACCTCGGAACTGCCCTATTCCATGTCATCATCCCATCATCAACCTTTGTAAACTCAAACTCTACCAAACCTCTACTGCTTTTATCCTAACTCAGTCAAAGTCCCATTCACTCGTCATCCCTGAACCTGTTGGTCAAATTGCCTCATGCTTAAGGATTATACCCTTTTTTTAGGGATTAAAAGGTATTTATTTGGATCACCAAATCTTGGAGAGTAGAATTTCAGAAGGAGCGGTGCCAGGACCACTGTTGTTCATGACTTAGATGATTTGGACTTGGAATTGCAAGTATGATTTCAAAGATACAGATGACATCAAATTAGAGAATCCATGAAATGGGGGAGTACTGCGACAAACTACAAGGAAGCATTAATAAACTTGGAAAATTGGTGTGTATTTTGCAAATGAACTTCAGATAAGTACGATGTACATTTGATATAGAATACATGTTGAAAATCAAGTGTCTAAATACAATGGATGAACAGAATGATCTGACTATACACAAATTATTAAAACTAATAATACAGGTTGCAAAGACCAATTAATAAGAAAAGTGAATACAGGGATAACACAGAGTGCAGGGCTGGATGAACACAGCAGG